AAGTATTTACAGATAGGGTATAAATAAAGATTGTACAAATTTATTTTAATGACAAAGATTATTATAAAGTTCTACAGAGTCAACAATCTATATGATTTGTATGACATCATATTGGCGAGCTAGTCTATCCAAAGTGTCAATTATTCAGTTTTAACTAGTGAGAACTTATTACTGGGCTTTAATTTACAGAATATTTTTAGTCACGTTTTCAATATCTTGATGGAAATTACTTACTTACGCCTGTTACTCCTAATGGAGCATAGACCTCCGACTAGTATTCTCCAACCCATTCTGTCCTGGGCCTTCCTTTATAGTTCTATCCAGTTGTTGCTCATCCTTTTAATGTCTGTCTTCATTTCTCGGTGTAATGTGTTCTTTGGTTTTACTCTCCTCCCTTGGCCTTGAGGATTCCAAGTGAGGGCTTGCCTTGTGACACAGTTGGAAGTTTCCCCACTGTGTGTTCTATCCACTTCAAGAGCTTCTTCCTGATTTCTTCCTCTACTAAAATCTGGTTTGTTTTCTTCCATAGTAGGTTGTTGATGAAAACAGTACTATGCAAATACTAATATTTTTAGCTGTAAGTAAACAATTATAAAATTCATGCTTCTTTAAGAAATTTGATTTCGATGAAATCTATCCAAATTAACCATTTGCAATAATCGAACCCATATTCTGTATCACAAGTAGGATTTTGTTTTATGAAACTAGTTGGTAATCCTAATTAATTTAATCAATGAGTATATGTGTGAAATAGAGTAATATTTATATTCGTCGGTTGATTCATAGATTGAATTGGTGAATAAATCCGAAATATTTAGCAAGTTCGTTGCAAATTCATTTACATTAGTATTCATTGAAAATAATTGGCATATATATTCAAATAAATAAATAAATAAAGTTGAATTTTCTCGAATAACCATTTGACTAAACTGAATCTAATTGACTTGACAGTTATTTTTAAGAAAAGACTTAATTACACACTAAATCAAATTTAAATATTTAACGGTTGGATTCCTTTTGACAATTCCAATTATAATCACCGTTGTGGTTCATTGATTAGCATAGTTTTCTCTCTTCTTTTCTTTAAAGTTAAGATGTTTATGCTGAATTATTGGGTAGAGTGGGGGGTAGGGATGGCATTGTCCTCACAAGAATAGTCATATAGGTGTACAGTGAATCATTATGGTGTTATCTCTGTATGGTAGTGGTTCCGCTATATTTACTCACATGGAAATGTCTAAAAACAACGTAAACTAGTTGAAACCTTTTATTTAAATAAGCAAAAGCTAAATTGATAAAACCTACATTTATATTAGACTGAAATAATTCTATTTATTGGTTAGCACTGTTCAATGCTTGTTGTCATTACAATTGTCAGAATGAAGTTTAGCTGAGATTTTTAGTTTATTGTGGTAAGTAAAAGTAATGTAACCGAGTTCATTAAATGAATTAAGTCCTCAAAACTGTCCAGTACGTACTCTAGTAGATACAAATGGATCAGCACTCAAGTAAGAGTGAATACAGTGAACGCACCTGAGGACATTTTATAATGATTTTGAATAGGCGCGTAAAAATAGGAAAAACAAGTATAATTTAGTACAGACACCACCTTTGTATCAAAAGCTGACATCAATTAGAAAACCATTGAAAACCGGATAGACTGAACAATTGTTTCGTCTTAACAATGTACACCCACAACCTTTAGAAGTTAAGTTATTTGAATAGATTGAGATAGCATCCAAAAATTGGTGAAAATTATAATTTCTACTTATCATGGAAAATCGACATCGTTCGATACTGTAATGCATGATAGTTATTTTGTATAAATGTAAGTAGTAGACGAGATTTTCGAGAATTTAGTATTTCTATTGGTTACTATGTCTTGGCATACTGTGCCCACTAGTGTGAGGAAAACAAATCACGCCATATTTATTTGAGACAACTCAAATATATAATCATGACTATAAAAAATGATCTAAACAGGTTTTTAGTGAAGCTATGAATGAAGTACGGATACTAGCTACCAGTCAGTGAATAATGTCGTGCTATTTATTTTTAAATGATAACAGAAACCAATGACTCATTTTGTATTGTTTGTTTGAATCTTCCTATTGATGTTCAGGACTGAACTTAATCAGTCTCGTATTGTTATATGTGTATTCTGTGAGTATTGGCCTGATATTGCCTTAAGTCAAAAGCATTCTAAGCAAAGACGGATGGTAGCTAGCAGTGAAACCCAGTCATATTTGGGACTCGTCAACTGGATGTATCAGCATCCCAGAGTTGATGTTCACTCTGGGACTCCAACTCCGTACCATCCACCTCAAACGCCATCACTTTATCCACTTAGCTACTGAGTCCTGATGGTCACTAGCTTGTGCGATGGTAAGATTCAAACAAGCAATACAAAATGAACCCAAACTTCACTCCATCGCACAAGCTAGTGACCATCAGGACTCAGTAGCTATGTAGATGACGTTTGAGGTGAATGGTACAGTTTGAGTCCCGGAGTGAACATCAACTCTGGGATGCAGATGCATCCAGCTGACGAGTCCCAAATATGACTATGTTCCACTGCTATCCTCCATCTCTTTGTCTAGAGATCAATAGCATCTATCTTTTAGTTACAGATGATGAAGATTTAGCAGGAGTCTCCTGTCTGTTTTGCACTAGCACCAATAGACGCTCTCATTGGAACTATAACAGTGAATAATAATTGCCTAGTCGGATTATTATGATAATGTCTTCTGATCAGGTAAAATGTTACTTAAGTGCCGGTCATATTTCATGTAATTTATGATATAATTTACGAAATTTTCAGTGTAGCCATTCGAATGAATGTCAGATTTGACTAATGTGAGTCTATTTCGGACAAATACTAAACAAGTAAAAACAAATTAAAAGAAATTCACTGGTTAAAGGGGGTATTTATGGAGAACGAAACAGACCAATTTAGGTGGACAAAATATTTAAGTGATAGATATGAAGACTGTAAGAATAGTGGAAGCCTAAGGCTAATGTCAATCTCTTTTGATGATGGAAACAGAATATGTTCCATCTCTTGTGTTTTCCACTCTCAGACTCACTGTATGGTTGATTACCGACTAAGTGTAAGTTTGGAAAATCATTTGCTTACACGGTTCTGTCAAGATATTTAGGGTGGAAAGGGTCGTGAAACTGCGAATCAGCTAACCACCCTGATGTCTGAGAACTTCTAGGAATATTAAAAAAATATAGAGACTTATATAGGGTGTGTTGATATATGCTGAGAATAATTTGACGATGTAAAAATAACCTTCCCCTAGGTTTTGTAAAGTAATGTGGCCTCAGAATGACTATTTATTAAACAGACTAGTTTGTTCTATGAATATTGTTGTACAGACGATTTTACGGAAAAAACATCTGATTTGTTTTAACTATTACCAGAACTCAATCAAAAAGTTTCATAGATACTTGATAGCGAGTGAATAGATAGCCGAGATTTGTTCAAGCCATAAATTGTTACAAATCTTTAATTCCTAATAAATATTAACCGTTGACCGCTTGTGTCAAAAGTAATCTTTTTATTTTATAGTTTGGCAAAACTGTAACAATATTTCATACTGGTCCAAAGATGAAGTTGTATGTAAATACACATTGTGTCCCTTAATGGTTTGGAATGTGGGGATGAATATCTTCGAAATACATAATAACGGTTATCTATCCAGTCTCATGAGTTGTACAACCCGGCATGTGGTTTTTAAAAGGTATGGCCACAATAATACAACTTTTAACGTATCGATAACATTAAGCATTAATAAAAATAAAATGTTATGTACAAGGTAAATAAAAAACAACCAGGCCTATGATAGATATCAAATATTCATTTTTTTCCCATAATATCATAATTCTCATGGAGGCGGTAAACTTACTGAAATTATTAATAGTCTTGACTGTTCTATACCTGCGTTCAACACACTACTTAAAAGTGTTAATGTTGACCTACTGTACAATGAATCAGTACTTTATACTTCAAGATTATTCAAAGTATTTGAGAACAGTTTCTCTGATTGACTATAAAAAACTGAAAGTAATTTTCAGTATGGGGTTGTGGAGATTATTAAGTTTTTGATTGAGATCATGAACCGATTGATGTTAAACCACCATTGAAAACCTGGAAGCACTGGACGGCCGTTTCGTCCCATTGTGGAACTCCTCGGCAGTGCGCATCCACGATCCCGCTCACGGGATTCGAGTTCAGGATCTTTGGTCTCGCGCGTGAACGCCTAACCTCTAAACCACTGAGCCGGCATCTAACGGTAATTTCGTTGACTATAAATAACTTTAAACCAATTAAATAAACTTATGAAATAAACACATCAGTAAATATTTACGACTAGTTTATTTTGAATATTTCATTAAAATCAATATGGGAAAGATATGAGGTAGATAACACGAAATTACAATCAACAGAACAGATAAATTTATGGCTAGCAATAGAATCCAGGCGGAGTGTTTCGTCCGGTTTGGGACTGATTATCTGGATCTACTTAAGTTCCTGTTGATGTTCACGAACCCATTATCGTTCTCTTCAAACTCCGAACGCACTGACTATTTAGCCACTGGGTTCAGATAATCGATCACTTATGCAACAGGCATAATACCCTTTATAATAATCATACAAATAGTTTGCAGTCAACCTAGATACAAAGGTGGCAAGTTTATCTGTTGAGTCAACCAAACTCCACTTACACAATAATCACAACAAAAAAGAAATTATAGAAAAAGTTTATAATTTTTTTATTTACTGAGGTTAAAAATCTACATTGTATTCATCTTATCATAAGCAACACCAATAACAAACTTACTTTGTTCAACCCTATAAATAGGCACATACATACGAACAAACATTTCTATACGAGCAAAGAATACAAAAACGAATTCATTCACCGAATTTATCCAATCATTTTAGAGTAGAAAAAAACAAACAATGGCAATACACTTAATCATAGCTACAATTCATTGTGAACCTACATTGAGACTCTCCGAATTCCAAAATCATATGACGAGTTTCAACTCTTCTAGAAGAATAAGTATTCACAATACAGTTAACAGTCAAATCAAAGAAGAAATCATTTCAGCATAACTATTATTTACTAACTTATCAGTTGATATAAATGAAATATAATCTATACTTTACTCAATTAATTTTTATTTTACAGACTATAATTATTCTTTTCAACAAAATTTATATCATATTTGGCAATGAATCAAAATCAATGATGTCTGGTTTATTTAAGACTAATAATGAAGTTATTAATAACATAAGTTTATCATCATCATCGCCACAGTATCCCAGATCTGATTATGCAAAAATGCCTTCTAATGATAATTTTATAAATTTTCGTCAATCTAAACAATCATTGAAGATGAATACTATGAATAATAAATTAACCAATTGTCAACTGCAGTTGGAATGTTCTACTGAAATGGAAAATATTGATAATAAACAAATGTCAATAATGAATTTTTCAACTACTCATATTACTGGTCGTATACGTATACCTGTCCGTAGTGGACGAGGACCAGCTGGACCACCTGGTCCACAGGGACCTCCAGGACCACAGGGTGCAAGAGGATTTCGAGGACCACCTGGTGAACCAGGTAGTTTACAAGGTAAATAGCGTGTTGTATGAGAAGTAATAAATGATTCACTTATGAACCAGAATATAGATCAATGTTTGTTTCTGAGTATGCACAGAGATTGTATATCATTTTTATACTAAAAGATATAGTAGTTTTGAAGAGGTTATTTAATTTTCCGAAAAATGTTCAGTCTAATTCTATGAACACAATGTTTAGACCATGATGCTATAAAAATATCTGTGATATAAAAGTAGCAGAAAGAACTTACTGATAATCGTGAATTGATTATTAGCGATCTATCGATGACTGTTCACATAAACCAAGGTAATGCTACAAAATGACAAACTGCCACATGATGGCAGAATAACTGCCATTTAGTATAATGTTTCAGTGAGTAATTCATTTATATGCAAATTAGTGTACAAATAAGTGTGGTTAGAAATTACTCAGAGTAAAGTAGTATGACATACAAAAGTATCAGAACAAGATAATTCGAATTGAAAATTTCATTTTTTTGTTCACCACTGTTTAGTTCAAATATCTTTCAGTTTGAAATATTGTAGTTGTGTCAGTGAAATGGACTCTTTTAAATTGAAAGATTTTTTTTTAACTAATTAATCTGGCAGATCAAAGTTCTTTATAATGTGGTGTGTGCTGTTGATGTCAACAGATTTAAGTAGTATGTATCGCCAATCGAAAGTAAAATACCTGGAGGCAGATTGTTAAGAAGCTCGAGCAAAAGAGAACGTGAACAGCGAATGTTTGGTGTGGAAACAAAAGAACAATAAAGTCTGAGACGATTGATTGATATTTTGTAAATGAATTATTTACGGTTCTCAGATTCTACTAAGACATTGTGTAATTTCGTGTTCAAATACATTTGGTTGTCCCCGTTTGTGTTCTTGTTCACTACAATAATTTTTTGTATTGAACTTGAACACAATTCGCAAAATTTCAGTACAGCATTTTTATTTAAGTGAGTTTTTTGGTATAGTTTAGATATTACCAACGTTATCGACAATATAATTCTTTGACTGTTAAAACGTGATAATTCGTCTTTTTCTATAAGGTCACTTTAACTTCAAATGTAAACACGAAAAAGTGTACATTGAAAAATTAGACTACTGATTCAAAATTAGATAACGCACATTGTGTGTACATTTTTAAGTAAACTCTCATTATGAGATTGAATAATCCTTCTTCATATTGTGTTAAAGCGAGTGCAACTTAGAGATTTGAATTGTTTGTGGGTTTTGTTAATCTGACTTAACATTTACCATTATTCACTTTAATTTAGGCAACTGATATTATCCATGATGTAAAAAATCGTTCATCTCCCTACCAAAGAATGAGTATATCAAGAGGCAGCTCATTATACATTACTTTATAACTGTGAAGCGTTATTTTTGCTAAGTGGAGATCTGAATAACTTGTAAGTAACCAGTCATAACGCTTGAATGTTATAGAATGATTTAGTGCGTAATAATGAATGTAGTTATAGATTAGTATTTAGCTAAATAAACTCGGTTGATAAAGATGAGTGTTCATCGACTGGAGTAGTTAGGATCAAGCCACTACCTAGTCGAATATATAATCCTTTTAGGCACAAAAGTAGGAAAGATAAGATAAATGAACGCACAAATTTTCCTTATCAGGGTCGTTTGCTTATAGCCATTTTATATAGTTATTAAACGAGATTGGGTATATTTTCTCGGTTTTTCTTATGAATAGAGAACTTGAGGCAGAGTTTTCCACTGACATCAAACTAAGTTTATTATGAAATTAATAATCTGCTGGTAAATTAGATTGTTTCCTATTCCAAATAGAAGTATAAACTGAACTAGGCTTATGTTTTACGATAGCCAAAGCTTGATAAAATAGAGAAAATAAATCACTTCAGTACCCTATGATATTAATATGTTGTAAAAAGGTTTCCTAACTATTATTTAGGGTTCCTTTGCCTTTGTTGAACACAATACAAAATATGTTAGTAAGGCTGTATCAAGAATTACTTAACATAGTTTTGAGAGGAAAATTAATATAAGCACATTTTGGTGATCTCGCATTCTATGATACGAGTCGTTTAGTAATAAAGCCTTCATGACCGTTTTTATTATCATCATCTCAGATGCTGACTTCTGTTTAAGGTAATCACAGATGATATTCATAACGATAATGAAAGATTATAAAATAAATTATTCAGCCTAGAAAACGTAATGTCATCGGAAACATTCACCAGAGACAAATAACATCTGTTAATAAATCGATTATGTAGATATAACTCCCATGATGCACAAATGATTTAATAGAATAGATTCATTTACATTTCATATTCAGTGTTTTAATTACCTAAATGTACACTTCATAAGTGTAGCTTCTCAGTCTCTTCTTTCATATCATACGTAAACATAAAGAATCATTCATATAAATGGTAGTAAATTCGTGTAAGTGGTTTCTTTTCAAAATGTAGAACTATTTTTACCGGATAAAAATGGAAATTAAGTTAATAATAATCTCATTATTATTTTTGTTGAAATCAATTTACTGAAGGAACGAGTTGTATATACTGAATTTTAATTTAGATTTTGGTTGCATGGCTTTTAAAATTTGGCATTTGTTTCTCCTGAAAAAAAAATCACCAAGTACATTTGACAAGTAAATAAAGGCAGAAATATCTTCGAATTTTATAGATAGGACTTATATAACAATTTAAAAGAGTGTTTGTAGTTTGTTGAACAGCAATTTTCAGTGATGATCTATCAGCAATCGGTTCATGGTCTCAATCAAAAACTTAATAATCTCTACAACCCTATAGTGATAATCACCATGTGCTCGCTGGTGACTAGCTTCCTGAGGGGATTCTCGGAGTTCTAGTGAGAAGCCGTGACCAGTGGAGCTAATCCGTGTCGAGTAGAGACAAATATCTCAGTCAAAAACTTAGTAAACTCCACAACTTATACTGATAATTTTTAATAGATTATGATTATAATAAATAGCTATAAAAGTGTTACAGTAGTGCATTATCCAAATCAATTTTAGAAAAGGTTGTAATGTGCACGCTTTAAGAAACAGTAAAATTTTATTATCATAACATATTACTGTAATGTCTTTTAAAAGATTACTAATATACAGATACACACTACAGGTTATTAATTAATGTCATATTGTCCAGTTTTCGGTGATGATAAGTTATTTTTATAGCACGCCAGTGATGTAACTACATTTCTAAGCTGATCAACATTATAATTTAATTTGTTCAGGATTGAATAGTTTGAATTATAAGGTATTACCCTTTTAATTAAAGTTTATATGAAACGATATTTATCAGCATAGCTTATGTTTAAACTTGGGAAAGCTGATATTTCTTTAAACAGATAAATTTGTATTATTTCGTATGAAAGCTACTATTTTTGACCACAGTGTTGAGTTATAAGGGTTATTTTCACCAAAAAATGACATGACTTTATTCTGACATACAAATGAGATGATTATCATCGAAATCTAACCTACTTATAAATGTTCTTAAACAATTTCTCAAAAAATTTACTATTGAACGTTAAAGATAACTAAATTTTATGAATCATTAAACTTTTTAAGTTACTACCGTATTTTGATATACATAAGGATGAATGGTGGCTAGCAGTGGAATACAGGACGCACGTTTCATCCTATTTGGGACTTGTTAGCTGAATGTACCTGATCACTTGTAATCCTAAACAACAATGAGAAGGTATAAACAAGCAATACCAAGTGAATATATATATGTATTTCGAAAACATCTGTTAACATAGTGTAGTACTATTAAAAAAACAATCAAATATTTTAGTAATATAGAGTATCACCTACTTTGTATGCAGAAGTTATCAAAATACTATGTAGTTTCGTGTAATTAGTATTTCAATTTCAGTCTTCAATAGTCAATCATAAACATTAATCCCTATCAGTTCAAGTTACATCATATCATATCAGTGATAAGAAATTTGTATGATACTACCATTTTTGAAACTTATTTTTAATCTTTGGACTCATTTATTATTTAACAAAATAGTTATTTCTTTCTAATTATATAAGTATTTATTTAATTTACATGAATGAGAAAAATAGACTACTAAAAATAACAACATTTCAGTAGTTATCATCTACATTGAAATTATTTATAGTAGTAACAAAGTTAAAGCATAAAGTCATATAAGTTCAAATGTCAATAGTGATTATTTTTTGTAAAATAAATAAAATGTTATTCATTTTGTTTTATTTAATTTAACTACTTAAATGACAGATGTTTATCAGTATTATATACGTTGTTTATTTGAATATCTTATCAAGATATCTAAATTTTTTGTATATATATATGTATAGGGGCATACAGTTATCAAAATAGAAAATACGAAAAAGTAAATGCGACATAGTAAAATAAAATTGAAATAAAGAATTTAATGTCAGTAGAATAAGAAATCGGTTAATTTCAACTAGTCTCCTTATTGAAAGAAATCAGAACATAATTTCTATAGATAGAAAAATAAAGTATATATATATATAATCTCTCGTAAAAAAGATAGAAAGGGTAAAGTTAATTGGATAGTTTAAAACTAAAGAGAGTCAGCATAAAAGAAAAAATCTTTTGGTTTCCTTTTATAAAATTTATTGTCAAATAGCATTTCATTCAATTATTTGTACTCATTGCTTTATCTGTATAATACTTGCGTGTTTTCTGAACATTTCTGTTCAAATTTATCAAGATAAGAAGGCCGAGAGAGAGAGAGAGGGAATGAATGAATGAATTACCAAAAACATCAAGAAGAACAGAAAAAAATATATAGGCAAACTGTCTTTACATTATTACAAAAATAGGGTGGATGAATAGATGGAAAGAGATTGTCTGATAAGAAGTTTTGCTTATTACTAATTTTGCTACTACCATTACTACTCTTTTTATTGTCATTTTAACTGATCTTTATAGAGAGAAGAAGAGATCCACAAAAATGCAAAGATATTTATATATGAATGTGATAGGAAATATAATTCTGATG